TCCTCGCCTCAGCAAAAAACAAAACCTCCAGGACACACTGCTGCTCCCTGGAGACTCACAGTATTGAACGCTGCCGCGCCGCTGGCGTCTCTGGATGTTGTGGAAGATGCTCACGTTGAAGTAGGTGACAGAGATCAGGGGCACAAAGAACTCCAGGGTGGATGCACACAGGAGGAAGTACCAGTTGTTGAAGAACTCGGCATAGCAATGCCCTTCCTCTACCATGCTGCAGCCAGACACGTACTCCCAAAGGAGAACTGCCGGAGAGTAGAGCAGGAAAGCAAGAATCCAGATGGCCACCATCTTGACAACAGGGTTGGACATCATTCCCTGCTGGGCTCTGTAAGATACCTGTGAGAAAAGGACTTGTCACTTATTAAGGTAACTTGTTGGCACAAAATAATATTGGAAAAAAAAAAAAAAAAAAAATAAGTAATCAAGCCAAATACAGTATTTGTTCTTCAGATTCCTTGATGCTTAGAGCAACCTCTCTTTTCCAAGGCCCCAAAAAATGCTGTTAAGCTTGCTCATCAAATACTGTAGTTCCGCAATTTATTTTAATACATCAGGATTGGAGATGTGTAGAAGTTATGATGCCCTAGCTACTGCCCTCGGTGTAAAAGAGCATGGCTTCGTTTCATCATGATCACAGCAGGGTAGAAATGAGGAATCACTTTATGATTCATCAAATTCTCATGCTTGTAGGATAGTGAAAGCAGCTGCGGCTGCGCAGGCAAAAGCACAACTTTTCTGTATTAGACAGGTTGCTATGAAAAACTGCAAATACCAGACGATATAATTATTTCCTCTTGCCATAAAAGAAAAATCTATCCCCAACACATGCTTTAACATGTCTTCTTATTGAAACATTCCATTTCAACACTCACTTTACCTTGTAAACATCTTGTTGCATTGCTACAAAAGTTGATGTTTTGATGTCTACTCAGACTGCATTGATTTACCTTACAATCTATCTGTAAAAATCTATCTTTAAAAAAATGTTAGGAGTTAAAATTGTAGCATTCAAAGTTAAGAACTATCAACATTAAACCTATCCTTGTAACATTTCAGACAAACATTCTTGCTCTTGGAACTCAATCTTTTGACTCTCAAGATTATCAGCCAATGAGAAGCTGGACAACTGTATATAAGACATACTGTTAGACATTTGTCATCCCAGGCTTTACTGAGATTCAGAACTATCTTCCTCATCAACTTCCTATAGCACCCGCACGTCATAAAAATATTCATGAATGTTGTCTTCATTAATTTTCATATTAGGCATGAGCAGCATCACTGTCCAAATTTTATCAGTGAGTAGCAGAGTGATGGCACATTTTTACAGGCATTATTTCAGAATCTCAGTTTTAAACCTCTGAGCCTGATATTTCAGATTTCCTTACACCTTAAAGCACCAGTTCAGAGCACAGCTCCAATTCACTTCATCCGCAGTAGCAAATTTGCAGCCCTCTGCAAGACCACAGGCATTCCAATTTAGTAGGCAGATAACAGGAAGCTCAGCGTAACAACACAAAAATTGAGTGAAATGACTGGATCTGACCACATGTCAGTAGCAGAGGTGGATCCTGAGCTGATGAGGATGCATGACCTCTTTTGAACAAAAGGTTACACATTCTTGGACTCACTCCATTCTAATTCCCCAGAGGAGAAAAGCAGAAGGTGATTACATATGCAAAGAGCATCAACAGTGCTTAAGATCATGGGGTCTGGCTGAGTTGCAGAAGACTTTATAATTTACTTTTTTCACATTCTGAGCTCTGCAACTTCATTAATATATTTTAATACTGCAATTTGTTAAATACAGGGATTTTCATATTTTTTTCTTAAAAGAAAAACAAACAACTAATACCAACCAACCCTAAAACCAGAACACCAAAGAAGAGATACAAAGCTGTATCAGCACTTCCCAAACAAGAACCAACTGATCTTATGCACAGCTCATGTCACTCTAGCTAACAGACTCATCAAAAGTGAAGGATATTGGTTGTCTTCCATCTGAACACAATACCAAGAGCTCAAAAATGATGAAAATTAATTTTTAGTAGATATCTTCTGAAGAGGAATGATAGTACTCAAGGAACACCTCTCCCCTCTGCACATTTTGTTCCCTTCTTTTCACTTAGAAGGATTTATTTCCATACAGCTGCTGGTTGGCAGCATATGTCAGTCTCTTTTGGTGGTAACACAGATCATCATCTGTTCTCCAGTCAGTCCATCCTGTGTCTCTCTCCATATCCCCCTCTCCAAAAAAATCATAAAATCATTAGGGTTGGAAAAGGCCACTGAGACCATCTAGTCCAACCATCAGCCCATCCCCACCATCCCCACTAAACCGTGTCCCTTAGTGTCACATCCATACAGTTTTTGACCATCTCCAGTGACTGTGAATCCACCACCTCCCTGGACAGCCTGTACCACTGCCTCACTGCACTTTCAGGTAGGCAATTTTTTCCAATATCAAACCTGAACCGCCCCTGGCACAACTTAAGGCCATCATCTCTAGTTCTATCACTGTTACCTATGAGAAGATGCTGACCCCCACCACACCAGTCTCCTGTCAGAGAGTTGTAGAGAGTGATAATGGCTTGAGAGCAGCCTTGAGGAGAAGCATTTGGGGGTGTCAGTTGATGAAAGATTCAACATGAACCAACAGTGTGTGATTGCAGCCCAGAAGGTCAAGCATTGCACCAAGAGAAGCATGACTGGCAGGTCGAGGGAGGTGATTCTGCCCGCGCTTGACTCAATCCAGATTTCTTTTTTTGACCATTCTTTAATGGCTAAAGTCCAGGTCCTCCACACTCCCACATCCTCTGTAGAGTAACAAAATAATTTCTAGTCATGCAAAAGAAGGGAAATACTAAAATTATGAGAAAGACTTTATTTTTTCTCTAAATCCCAATGCCATAGCGCCTATAGCCAGGAAACGTGTAGAAAAACTCTTTTTTTCCAGTGTAGTTCACTGAAGAGTATCTGACAGAAAAAAATCTTCAGACGATTTAGTTGCTTATGTCTTCCTAATCTCTATGAAGTCTTTGCAAACTCTGCATACTTGGGAAAATTTCCAGAGGTGAGGAAAAGGATATCCAGGGTGACCTTTCTGCCATAGTTTCTCACCTATTACAATATACTGAAGCATCAGATTTTCTCCAGTACAGTAATAGTGCAACAATAAAGGCTGGCTTAGTTTCTGGGGTATTTGCAAATACTGAGTTTTACAAAAATCTCAAAATACATTAAAAAAATGAGAAATGTTCTTACCGCTTTTGTAACTGACAGGAAACGGTCATAGCTGATAAGGACAATGTTAAACACTGAAGCTGAACACACAAGGTAGTCCATAAGCAGCCAGAGCTTGCATAGGCCTTTTCCCAGGTGCCAGGTCCCTGTCAGGGCATAAGGGATGTATAGTGGCATGCAGAAGACACCTATGGAAATAAACAAATTGCATATCAGACAGCACCCCAGTCAGTGCTATGCAAGCACAGAAACATTTCCATGGTGTCTGACAAAAAAAAGTGATGCTGACTGAAATTACCAGGTGGAAGGCCCTGCATTCTCATGCAACCAATGAACACTTCACCACATTCCAGGCACCAGTGACATTCCTGTTTTAAGATATTTAGATCATTTTAGATTTAGTTCTTAATACACTACACGGCTGTAAAAGGTACCAAAGAGATTTTTGTAAGATTTTTAGGTAAATAGGAACTCTCAATTCCTCTTGTTCTCCCTCTCTACTGTGAATCAAGAGATCTCTGTATGCTAGTTATAGGGCCATAAGCAAAGATATGAAGCAGAAGTTGTTGAAGATCAAAAGACAGATTGTATGTGTTAGAAGAAAAAAAGAAAGGACTCTGCAAGAACAAAAATACATTCTTTTAGCAGTTAGAAATTTAAGATGATCTAGGCATATCCCAACTCTAAATTGTGTAGCTACAGAACTGAACTACAGATCAGTTTGATGCTTAAGTATGCAAAGCTTTTCATCAAATTCAGACTGGAAAACTAGACAAGTTCATCAAGAAAATGTGTGGAAATCAGATAATGCCAGGTAAACCATACTTCTTTCCTTGGCAGAGGCTATTTCATACTTCTCAGCTAGATGCCAGTACTTGTTCAGTGTGGTGCAAGACTGGGAGCAGGACAACAGGACACCATTGACTGGTTTTATAGTCACTGCTGTTTTTTCCTCTTGTCAACCATAAGGAGCCCCATCTTGCAGTGGGGGAACTGCTGCCATTGACAAGGGCTCAGGGAGAAAGGCTCAGGATCTTCTGCCTGGCAGAAGAGGAATTGAGAGCCACAGAGACAGGAATCCCAGCAAAGGACATGATAGGCTCAAGCTGATGTTTGCAGGACTCCCTTAGCCCTGCAGTTTGGTTCAGCTACAATGAGGTGTTATGACTCAGCAGCACCTATCCAGGTGATAAGACTGCTGAAGTTTCCATACAAAGCCTAGTGCTGTTTGAGAGTGAGACCAACAGGTGATAACGGGGTGCCTCAAGGATCCTTGAGGTACACCTGTACAGCAGGCAACAAGAGCTCTGCAGCACAATAAGGCAGTTAGAAGCTGGAAGAAGTCATCATCTTTACATGGGAAGGATTCCAAACATTATACAGAATAAAAACAGCCTCAGATTTTGTTGTGATATGACAAGTCAGAATACAGACTTCATGCAACAGCCACTTGTATCCATAACCATTCATTTACATATACATTTATTGCCAGGGACATTTAACAGTTCAGATAATTTCAATACATCAGTCCTCAATTGCACATTACACTAGCTTTTTAACTATAATTTTTTTCCCCTAAGTTTCACAATAAACTGTGTTCCTGCCTATATAGATATATAATAAGCATCTTGATTTGCTGTTTTTGTTTATTGATACAAACACATTTTTAAGAAATTTCTTAAGACTCTAGATAGTCCAATGTTCAGCAAAATATTTAAAAATATTATCAATCACTATTTAGTTGCAAACCTTAAGTAATTATCTGATTATTATGCTACAGTATACTGAAATAGAATATATTGACAACATATGCAAGATGCCCCAGATAATGTATACGGTGTGTGGTTTGATTATTTAGTCTTCAGTTGACTCATTACAGGCAACTCCCATTTTTTATTATTCCCTATTGCTTCACATATACTAGTGCTTGGGCTTTTTTTTTTTTTTTTTTTTAACTAAAACAACATTAAACATCTATTTACATAGATCAACTCTATCCCAGCCAAAAGCAGCTCCGACCCATTCCCTATAATATATTTCTGTAAATAAGGAACATTCCAAGTATTTCTATGAAAAATGATACATTATGTATCTCATTATGATGTATTTTGAGACACAATAAGCTGCTGAAACACTTAACACAGTTGTCATCATCATTTACCCTTCCCCATGCCACACAGCTGGGAAATATTTCTTCAAGAAGAAACCACCCACCTACAGAAGACACCCTGCTCCCCCTAAGAGTATTGGAAAGCAAACATTGCATGCTTCCCATTGCAACTTACCCACTGCAAAGTCAGAAATGGCAAGGTTGAGAAAGAAATAGTTACTCCGATGCCTGAGATTTCTGTCCAAGATGAAAGCCAGGATCACCAGGACATTTCCGAGGATCGTGACCAGAGCCAGCAGCACCATGAGCAGAGCCAGGAGCACCAACACACCCAGGGAAAACTGAGGGGTCGATGGCTGTGGGGACAGCGTCCCGTTACAGGGTCCCATCATGCATGGA